CTCCCTAATAATCATTGCGAAGGTCATTACTGATCTCTGAGGCCAAGAGGAGGTTGGATGCACGCATCCCTAACGAGGTCATTGTCCGTTAGAACGTAGTCAAAGCGCTATGCGTTTCCGTCATGTCCCCAGCGTGTGGCATCACGCTGGCAGTCTTAATTGCATTCTTTAGCTTCTGACTGAAGGATCTGATGCGTCTTCCCTCCGTCTCGAAGCAGGTGGGTGGGGCGCTGAAGTCGCCGGCAGTGATTACGGAATCGTAATCTGCAGAGGACGTCGTCAAGATTGCCTTGATGGCCATCTCATTATGTGTAAGGGAGCTGGTGGGGGTCGACATATGTCTCCGAGCAGGCATTTGGTACAGTGGAGGGCAAAGTAGCGCCATAGAGACTCTGGAAGTGAGTTAAGATGGTATCGCCAGCCACCCTTGCCTTTAAATGGGAGCTTATGTAGAGAGCCACCCCCTCCTGCTCTGAGCACTCTGTCCTCGAGGAAGGGCTCCGCACCAACAACCTGCGCTTCCCCGTCGATGTCCGGCGAGAGCCAGGATTCGGTGATAAATATGATGTCAGAGTGCTGACGTTCACGCAAAGTCATCTCTTCCACTTTCCTTCTTGGCCCCCTAACGTTGCTGTACATACATGTTAGAGTGTGCCTGGTGAGAGAGGAGGGCTGGTTGTGTTTTCGCGGGAATAACTCTTACATGGTCGGGTCTAACGCTGCCAGTCCTCATAAGACTGGCATCGTTCTGTTTGCGTTTTATCTTCAATTTGGGTGGGGGCCGTGGCAGCGGGAGCCTCTTTACTCGATGTATTTGACTCACTGGTCAGTACCTGTGTGACAACCACTGACTCTAGAGGTCTTGGTGGTTGCCGTCTCACCTCTTGCCTCGTGAGTCCAAGCTTACTTTCACATATGCGTACTGAGCCACCAGTGCGATCTTCTGCATTATACCTCGCGTACAGAACGTCTGTGAGGGAGGCATGTGAGTCGAACTGGATGGCAAGCGGTCTGGTAGTGGGCATGGACTTCAGATGCGCTGACCTTGGCAGCCTACTGACACTGTTGGCTGGTATACTGTCGAGACCGACTTTGGCTGAGAGCCACTGCCACTGTTGGATGGCGCGAAAGTACCGACCTTCAGCCGAGCGGTTACTTGGCAGTTCCAGAATCCCATGCACAACTACAGCTTTGTTTCTGTTTGGATTTCCAGCCGCTGATTTTCTTTCCTTCTTTCCTACTGACCATGGCTTGTCAGGCCCAGCCCGAATTTCGGGGGTATTAACGGCGTTCGGTCGGCTCAAGAGAAGGAGGGCGTCTTCGGCCTATTTGGCAGTGTCCAAGGACGCACGTGAGGAGAGTGGCTTATCTCAGGGTGCCCGGCTTCCGCGAGGAAGGCGACAGTGTTACAGAGAGAAGAGAGGGTCCCGGCATCTAACAGTGGGCGGTCCGCACTAGGCTGTCAAATCCTTCTCTCGGGTCAACAACTAGTCTGTGGATATATCGGCGCTAAACAAGACGATTGAGTCAGCCCTCCTGTGACTTGGGTTCTTTGTGGGTGGCACGCCCGGCTTCACAATGCTTTTGTTGTGTTTTTACTGGTTGTTTCTCGGTCACTGTGTGGGATGTTTGGGGTGGGTTTCCTAGAGAGTCTAGGGGTTGGTGTCTTCAGCAATGCGCTTGACGTTCTCTGAGGCCTGGTACGGGGTACGGAGACCCGACCCAATGTGGTCCTCGCGCGTGGTGGCGTGTGCACAGCTGGAGATCCAGCTGTTTCTAGCCCCCCCTGTATTATACTTCATGCTTTATTCGGGGGTGTTAGCGGCTTTTACGCGGCACAGAGCACCTTTTTCAGGCTTTCCGTGAGGGGTGCAGGCAGCCTCCTGCACTCTGGACAAGTGTATTAGAACCATTTGCACGATTGCCCCTTCATCAGCCTACGATGTTCTCGGGGGACTTTGATGTCGCATTGGCAATGCACCCATCGGTGACGTAGGTTGCATGCAAATGCCTCATCGGCTAGCGAAACAGCTGTAGCGCAAACACTGCAGCCATCGGGCATCTTGATGCAGGCTTCCTTCCCTGAAGAAAAAGTTACGGGTTGGAGCGAACTGCTTGTGGCTGCCTTATTCTTAAGCCTTGTACCACGTCTCCTCGCTTCAGGCATGGTCAGATCCCTGCCCAAGGTAGGACTAGTTTGTGACGTACTGGTGCTACTCTAAGTCATTTGTTTGATTACGACTGGGATACTAGAAATATAAGTTGGGTGCTTCTTTAGAAGTTCAGTGTTCTGCCCTAACTCTGTTTGTCTATGGAATGTTGTTTCGGGTCTTATTGTCCCGCTTTCTGCACGACCTCATTATCCATGTTAAGGCTTCGGATCTAGCGTTTTAGGCGGGCATATCACTATTATATAAACTTCTTGGGGAAATATATGTTCACCTGCAATAGGAGGATTGAAGATTGAATGTAATTAATGGACAGAATATATAAAGGAAGACAATTTATGTTGGCTCACCTCCAGACACTTGTCACTTGCTCCTCTGCTCTGGACCGATGAGTTTAACCGTGAACTCCAGTTATGCATGCAGAACCAGGAAAGAAGTTTCCTGGGGAATGACTTCCGGAGAGAACCGGGAGCTAAGGCAGTTTGTCAGTTGAAACACCCAAGAACCACTGACAGGAGGCAGATTCGTCGGTTCAAAGAAACAATAATGCCAGTTTTCAGCTTTTGAGAAGTGAGTTGACGAATACTCAGTCATGAAGTGCGGACAGGACCAGGAGTGCTGCGAAAGTTCGTTGTTTTTAGATTGATCATTCCAAGTGGGAGTTTTTCGGTGTGCAAAAGTCCAAAAGCTGAGAGACGAACGAAAACATGCCACCATTCAAGGAGCGCGCAAGCGATGAGTGTAAAAACAAGCCGCTGCCGAAACTAAAAGGTTCATATCTGGAGACTTGAGTGGTTGAGTAGAGTAGTAGTAACACCAATTAAGAAGGAAGTGAGGACGCGGCAGGTCGAAGTGCACCAGAACTGCGTTACCATGATTTTTCACGAGGGTGAGTGACTCCACTGGTCGTGGACTTCTTCGAGTATAGGAGTTGTGGTTGAAAAGTGGGGCTCAAACGTGAACCACACGACCCTGCGGATAGCGTTTGTCACTGAAAAAGAGTGTGTAGAGAAGCGCTTAGTAAGAGCAGCTGATTCAGCGGAAAGTGAACCGACGGAGGGCTGTAGGCCTTCAGTAATCCCGTAATAGATGGGTGTTTATATTATACGATTAGCCATGCTATAAGGTTACGAAACTCAAAGTTCACAGAAATCAAAATGTGGTGGATATGCAGGTTAACTTGATGAGATACTAAAATATAAGGTATACCAAGAAATAGTGCCCTTATCCAGTGTACCTCAAATTTGGTCTCGGCAGCACGATTTGAAGACCAGAGAGGAGTGACTATGGTAACACTTAGGAAATAGTGCTGTTGATAGGATTGTTGATTAGTTGGGAAAGAGACATAATTCCAAAATGTTTTATGCAGAATGATCTATTAGCACTGATCGCAGACAGAAAGAAAACGAAGCAGAACATACGAGGAGCGGAACTCGATATATCTCATTGCAGTTGTAAATATAAATTGTAGTTGTAGCAATCTTCGAAAAAACAGCCGAGTAAAACCTGGTTAGACAGACTTTAAGAAATTGTGTGAACCTAGTGAGGTTGAAGAAGGAAAGGTTATTCCCCTTTAATGAGATTATGAAAGAATATTTGCACATTCCCCACGGGTATTTGTTTCTTGAAGGGCAGAAATTGAGTGCTTAACAGTGATTATCATATCATGCCGTCATTGAATAGTTACACTTCACTTTATTGCTCTTGATGAAGCTATGTCCAACTGCCGTGTGTCCGTGTCCTACAATAGGTGAACCCAGCTCAGTCTCGTTTGTGAAGTTTGAATGGCTCACATGCAGTATCGGGGGCAGCAGAGGCCAACCATTAATTCTGAGTACTCATTAGATACGGTAAGGCAGAACGCAGTGGAACAACCAGGTATGCATCATATGGTGGTAGAATATCGCCAGTGTAACGACATCGATGAGTTCCCCGACCAGGCACTGAGGTACGATCAATAGAATGTGTCATGAAAACGTTGTAAGCGACGGGGATAACTTGCAATCCCGTTGAATTCATGTAGTTCGGCATCAGTGTTAAACTTGAGCTATTCGTTTTAGGGAATTATTTGTTACTAGCCTAAGGGTAACAGTGGGTTATGACTTGGGAGTCATGACACACTGTCGATGGGCATCAGTTTGGTGTTTTAGGACACTGGGCATCACGTAAAACGTTTGCAAAAATAAGTGGTGATATGTTCATCATCTTATACACATCCTTAGTCAGGTCTAAATCAGAAACTGTACACAGGCGGCTAGTCCTTGCCAGCGACGTGACACAGACCTTCTAGAAAGAGTACAGAGGGCAGCCACCCCTATGGTTCTATGAAGATCGAATTAAGGAGCTGAACCTCTCCTCCTTACTCTTTCACAGACAGAGGGGAGATCTGATAATGCTATACAAGGTTCTGGGAAATGACTTTGGACGTGATCTGCCTTCTCTTTTCTTTCCCACTAGGTTGGAACACCTCACAGGACAAAGTAGAAGGCTACCAAAGCAAAGAACGAGCATAGTCTTTGCGTCGAGCAATCAACTCCTGGAACCAACTTTCAGAAGAAGTGGCTTCCGCATCATCCGTTGACCCGTTCGATAGGGAAGTGGACGGGTAAAGCAGCATTTTTATACCTAAAACATCAGGATCGGACTACCGAAGCAGAACAGCAGGCACTCTTCATCTTGCATCTGTTTTCGAACCCACTGAGTATGTAAGGAAACATTCAGTTTTCCAAAGTCTCATCTGAGTATATTGAACACATTTGTGTTCGTTCTTTTCAACTTGTTCATACAACCAAGAAGCATTTTTTTCAAACGTTCGGTAGCAGGTTTGTGTTTGTGTTTGTATTTTCACGCTACACTTCTGGATTTTTCATTGGCATCTCCTCAAAATGCTAATTAATTTTCTATGTTATTTAGGGACTTCAACTGTCAGCTCTTTGTCTAGCGATAAAACTCCACAGCATACCTGAAATTTGTTAAAATAGTAATTCCTGAATAAGCTGTGATACGGGGTTTTAGCTTGTTGAATCCAGTGAAAATGTGTGAGGGTAGTATTATGACTTGAATTTCGAGGGGATATCTTTGAAAAGAGAAAGATGTGACATGTTTTGTACATATTCCATACATCGACGTGACTACATTTTTTTTTACCAACCACTCACTAAGACTAGTGTACCTTGTTTCAACAACAGATGGAGAGATATTGACTTAAAAACTTGTAATTGTCACAACATAAGACATACATGCCTTAGGTTGGAGAGTGTCAGCGGAGATATCTGTTGAATAATACAACTGTGCAACATTAGTTTGTGACTCATCTCAACTACTCTCACTTTAATGCATTCAAAATTTTCCGCGTCTTAATTCATTAGGCCATTGAGTTAACGTCAGAGTTACGTAAGTATTTCAACTAGACCAAGGAAATTAGCTGCAGTTACTGTCGTGCGTTTGGTAGTGGATATGTTGTGCTTCACAAACCGTCTAACTTTCTTTGACACGTGTTACTTTCAGGACACAACCTAATATTTTCCTTGCCATCTCATACTGCTTCTAATGCCGCATGTAATGTTTCCGTTTTAGTTGAAGAAAGTCTATTTTGCATGTATTGACTCTGACATTTCATGAGCTTCTAGAACAGGAAACGACGAAATATGCCTTTTATACAATTAAGTGATTGTTGGCGCTCATTTGTATTATTAGTTTTTGTAGTTTAAAGGTTACAACAATGTGGGTTTGTCATGTTCCGGTACATACTCGGAATATATAGTCACTCCTAACTACTCTTGGCATTTGATGAATTTGCTGTTTTGGGTACTTTAGAGCTATATTGAAGAATGTGGTTCTCATGATGATATAGTGAGTCCAATATAGACCCATTGTACTGCATAATTGCTGTGCTACTTTTTTGTCAATGCACTTATTGGTTGACTGATATTTTCCTGTAGTCCACTGAGAGGAAGTGAATATAAAAGAAGGTATTATGACGATCAAAGGAAAAGACTAAATAAATAAGGTTTGGTAAAAATGTTGAAAAATGATGGAGGGGGCATAAACTCACTTCATTGCGACCTGTTTTGAAATGTATCACCAGGAATTTCCACCTGGTGACTTTATCTGAATTAATCCAGTCATAGTAGCTTACTGCATCTTTCTGTATGACTCAGGTCAGCAGTTAGAGATACATGGGTTAGTGCTATATCTGACCATCTGTAGCTTTCTTACGACTCAAACATACTTTGACTAACATCGTGAGTCGAAGCAGGCATTGGGTAAAACACGTGACATGTCTAAACCAGTTCACTCTCTGCAGGTGTGCAACCTGATCGACTGACTTGTCTTCCTTATCTGGTCTTCCATGCTTCAATTCAACAACGCTTACGCTATGATTTCACCATGCGTGCGCAATACCTTTGCAGGTACTTGTGATCAAATAGTTTTTGACTTTTCATGTCTTGTTCCTCTAAATGACTGATTTTGCTGAACCTAACAATGTTATCTGCCTCCTGTAAGCCATCCACGTACCTTAAGGGAGATAAATAAACCGTAATAAGTAGATGCATACAGCCTTATCTACCAGCACATCTATAAGAAAGTTAAATAAGAATTCGGACCTAGGACATCCTTGGCATGAATTATTGGTCTCTATCACATCAGTTGGTTACGCTGTTTGGCTTACACGGTTTTATTTCGAGAACACACTCCAGCCTAGCAAAGTAATCTTCCTCGGTAGTACTTTCACAGACTGACGTTGCAGCAATTTCAGCCAAGTCAGATGCCGCCTATTAGTCAAGAAATATGGCAGATGTTTGTTCCGGGTGAGTATTTTTCTATTCCAAAACCTGTCGAAGCATAAAGATCTGGTTGACGTAAATTGAAATTAAAACTCGCCCGGTAACCCTTTGCTCACTCATGAAGTCATTGAGCTATACCTGTTGTATGAGGACTGGTGATACTATCGGTAGAGATAGATGTGTGTGAACCCAAAACCCAATGGTTGAAAGTCAACTTTCTAAACCAATGAGCTACAGCTCGTTCAGGTCTGAAACACCCTATTTTTTCGAGTTAGGTTTTGACTGACTATTGATCTCAGAATCTTGAACACTATATTAGTCACACTGATTTGTTTTTGTTCATTGAAGAAGGACTCTCTTGTTCCTATGGGATGACATGCGATAACGTAACCACGCAATAAGGTCCGATAGAGTTACAGTCCTGAAGAGTAAAGCGGTTAGTTGTGAAGAAAGGTTGACCACTGAATCTCTGTTAATCGACCCAACATCTGGCACATGTATTTGAAATGACGCAACATCAAATCCGGATATGTGGAAAGTTTTTCTACTAATTAAATCGAAGAAAGAAAAACAGTAGAACTACAAAACTAGACCACAAAGTTGTGTAATCGATATAATTATGAGCGATAATTTCTTCTGAAAACGTCATCTGGTAAATGATACTATATCACTGTGTGGTGTATCAAATGGACTAATCTAATACATATTCTACCACCGTGCCTAAATTCTATGCATACTGTAAGATTCTACTTTTTTAACAGCCATGAGAATGACGACTTTCGCCTAATTGTGGCACAACTGTAGGTCTGGTCGCCCTTTTCACTATCAGGAAACACTAAAAAGATGTATGGTACACACTGAATCGGTATAAAACAATACGTTTTGCTGCTAAAATTGATCTAGGTTTATCCTGCACAACTGTCTTCGTAGGATTAGATGTAGCCTACTTTTCATACACTCAAAGTTAAAATATTCAGTTGCAGGTTCGAAAACAACCCCAACTGATTTGGTTTTCGCAGCTGAGTAACATTATTTAATCACATGCAGTAACTGTAGCTCAAAAATTACCACCAGAGTAAATAGTTAGTTGATGAGTCCTTGTGCAAATCGGTTGACGATAATATTCAAAACTGAACAGGACAATTTCGATACCTTTTCTGAACTTGTGTTTCATTTAGTCACTGATTTATGCACTATAGTCAAGTAATAAATCTAATATGTAGTAAAACGTGTGTACTTATAAAATACTAAACTTTAAAAGAAAGGTTGTTGCAGTGACAGCAAAGTACTGTATTATTTATCGTGGTTCTTTATTTTCCTTTAGTCAATACTCAATTCATAATGACGACGGATGACCCGAAAGTATCATATCCTTTGCATCACCACGTTTGGAACAATGATTACATGGCTTTGGATGAGTTACTTCACCAAAAGAAGGTGAGAGTTTTCATGCTCATAACAATATATTCAAATTAGCATGATATAGAAAAATTAGATCCACATGGACGAACTCCATTAATGCTATGCATTGTACTTGATCATCTGGAGTCTGCGCGAGTTCTTCTTCGCCATGGTGCAAATGCTTGTGTTTCTACAAGTGAATTTTGGACAGGTATTTGTTTTGTTAGTTTTTTTAACGACTAAATATTTAGCTGCCCAGGAAGCTATCTCAACTGGAGATCCGGAACTAGTGAAGTTAATTTTGGTTCATAGGGATGCCCAAATAGTTCGTCATCAGGCTGCAATAGTTACGGATTTGTTGCAGAAACTTCGAGAAACACCTGACTTTTATATTGAGATGAAGTGGGAGTTTACTAGTTGGTGTGAGTTACTTTTATAAACTTGTTATACTATAAGTGTTAATTTAATAAACAACGACCTAGATTTAGACTTACTGTTATTATCTTTTGATCATTCATTTGGAATGGACTACATATTTCTGAGTTGTATGTTGATAATGCTATGGAGAGCTTATGGAAACGTAATTCTCATGGTGTCAAAGTTTGCATTAATTATTCTAGCACCTAGACCAAAACTTCCTACTGACTTGTTATTGGAATTAAATTTATTGTAGTTTAGTGAAACCGGTAACTGGAGGACTTGCATACAGTTGCAAAAGTTCAAACCATATATGCAAATAATGGACGTTTCATCAATCCATTAAATAACTTTTGTTATGAAAGCCAACCTTTTACAAAGTTTACTTGATTTATGTGTGAATTGTAATTATCATTATCAAGTCACGATCATAGAGTTGGAATAAAGTATAATGGGTTTCTTAGTGAGAGCTTTTTACATTTGTTGGCCTGTCATCTGGTGGCAGTGTAGTGAATGGCACCGAAAATCTATCCTCAAATCCGTTTTCTAAAAAATCTCGTCTCTAATAACCAATTCCCTGAATTCTGGTTATTTCTCTGTCTTGGACAATTACTGACCCGGTCGATCGAATATCAACTTGTGCTAACCCAACTATTGAAAATATCTCCAAACACTAAAATGAATTATCTTATAGAAATAAACGGTAAACAGAATATTGTATAAGCAAGGATGGAGATACTTCTCATAATATAACATATATATATATATATATATGTATATATATATATATATATATATATATATATATATATATATATATATATAACATAATATAACATGTAACATAGTTATTACAGAACACTATGTCTTGCTTAATCCTTTGAGTGAGTTACTTAGGGATCACAAAAACCTGTTTGCTCGTATTAGACTTGGAGAGTAAATATTCTAGAGATAAGCGGACATCGGCTGTCAGAAGTTACTTGCTTTAAATTCATTTCCTTGTTTAAAATACATTTTTGTATGTACGTGCGTTGAAGTTTCTGTAAATGTTTCCTGATATATATATCTTTTTAGTACCTCTTGTATCACGCATGTGCCCTAGTGATGTTTGTCGTGTATGGAAATGTGGTCCGAACGTTAGAATTGACACAAATTTACTTGGATTCAATGGTTCAGCATCATGGGTTCGAGGCCACCTAAGTTATATGTTTAGAGCTGGAGGTGAGTCAGCAATTACTTAAATGGATTGTTTTTCTTAGTGAAGCGTGAAAACTAATACCTTCACAACATATATACAAATCTTTTTGAGCACCAATGTTCTGTTAATCTCATGTGGTTAAAACATTTTACTTCATAAAATTGAAAATACATAAGATATCTTTCTTCAATCCAGTTATCAGTGCAGTTAAAATAAGTCCTGAATTCTATTTTATTACTGGAATAACGTTTCAATGGGGTGTTGTTTTTAGAATATAATTAACCGTCTTGTAATACCAGTGGTGCGCATAAGCCCCTCAAGAATAACTGATTCTGTATTAGGAGCAAAGTGATGTTGTAACTGTCAACAATGGTGTTTAAACTCATTAGTATAAATGATAATATACTCATCACTGATCCAGTGAATCAAGATTCTTGTACAGGATATTCAGTGGTTACACGATTGTTATTTATGTGTAACATGAACGATCTTGATACTTGTGAGATAGCCTCCATTATCCTGAACTTAGTTTTCAAGCTCAGTGACTCGCTTCAAAGAGGGCTTTCTTAAAACTTGAAAAAAAGTGATTTATATATTTAAAACTGAGCTATTAGTTAAGTAGTTGAATCACAAACAAAATTCGTATAACACCCTCAGTAAAGGGAATCTAAGGTAGCTGGTTGTAAGGCATATGATACACAACTTAAATCGAGATAATAACAAGATTTAATTTGTATTTTAACCGAATTTGTAGTGATCTTGCTCACAGAACATGAAGTTATTATCTTCATCTGCGAATTCTCCAATGAATTTTCTGAGTCCCTAATACTAAGACATCCCTGCATAGAATGACATTTGTATGATCATTGGTTAAGCTGTTATTTTCCGCTTCATTTCTGTTATGGGTTGGTGCACTTAAACTGCATATTATTGTATTTATCAACCAGTGGTTTCAGTCAGTCATCATGGACATAGTGCTTTGCATTGCTGTGTAACGGTGCAAGTTGTCATAGCGCATATCAGCACATTAATATAAAAGGCATATAAATGAAGTATGGCAAAATAAAGGAAAAATTAGCCAACAAGGCTGAAAGTCGTAAAGAAAGAACAAGAAGCAGTGAAGCTAAGGAGAAATTCAACATGACATCTAAGATGAAGATAATGTGTAGATTTACCTGCGCTAAAAATCGGTTCTGAACAAAACCACCTAGAGTCTTCAACCACCGATTCAGATTGTCACTCGGACAAATGGTTAGGGTGTGTAACTACCAGCCACTAGGTCACAGTTTCAAACACCACTTAATCTACATAAAAGGTGTGACGAATACTTATCATATGATGCATTGATTGGCCATTGGACAGCAAATAAGTTCATGTTGTCTAGTCCTGAGTGCCAACCGAATTCTGTCGATCTTTTTGTAATGCGGTCACCACGCTTGGAGGCTCATTATCGTGGTGCACGTCGATGGGTGTTAATTGTTTGGAGGCAATCAGGAGGAAGCTCCTTGCAGAACAAATAATCACACAAACCTGTACATGTTTGATGAATCACGTCCTTCTCATTCTTTTCTCTCAATATAGGCTTCACTCATAGCCCAGTAAGTGGATCTGTGCACGGTCATTAAGTTGCATATTTTATGTACTCGTGTAGCAACCACAAAGTTGAGGAGATAGAATTGCATAGTGAAATAAATAAATAAGAAAGAGACTGGAAGAGAAGAAAACTTACGTATAACCAACAAATTTAACGTTTAATAATGCATCTAAAATCACATAACTTCCGTATAATAGGCTGACCAGAGGAGGAGTAGCTCACTGACTTAAAAGTTCACCTTTCAAGCGACGAGTTACGGGTTCAAACCCTGTTCCGCTTACTTCAGCCGACTATTATTTCAAACCTTTACACACTCTGTGACTTATAGCCTATTACAACGTGTACTGCATTTTATTACATACTAACACATTGACTCCAAGATTCACGGTACACAAACTTCTAAATCCATGTCTATTGTGTTCATTGCTGAGTAGATTACTTCGGCTTGCTAAGAAATAAGTACCTGAATTGCTTGGAGAAATAGTTAAGATATGTACATTTTTGAAGAAGATTCATTTGTTTTTTTCACTGCACTTTGAAATATTAGATTCACCTGCATGTTCTGGGAGTTCAGTAAGAGAAGCAAACTGGCTTAGTTTGGTAAACATGTGGACATGTCTAGCATTCATGACCCCCAGTAGAACATCGGTGTATGAAATATACACTACTTACTGAAAGTAAATAATAATGTTCCGCTTCCTTTTTTTGCTAATCTAGAATCTGGAGCATATATGGACGAAGTAAATCACACTGATCGAACTATTTATCGTCATAATGTGAACCTGTTGAATCGCCCCGATGGATTAGATGGTGCAGCTGGTGCTGGGAGTGGCGCTGGTGCAACAGCTGCTGCTGCAGCACAACTTTTTGTTCGTGAACCTTCAGAGAGCACGATTGCAAACAAATTAACTCAACCTATTTTTGTCACATATTTGGATACAGATAAGATCGAGTTCGAAAAGTTGGTTTCCTTTCCGTACTACATAATTTTGTTTAAATTGTCTGAATTTTAAAACAGTGGAATAATCGACTAATTGGCTATTTTCATCTTAGTGAGTTAGATATCCCAAATCTTATGGTTTTGTTTAAATGATTGCTAACTGTTGCTCCAGGGACTGGTTTTCAATGGTGCCTTGTCTAACAGTTGAGAGTGAAATGGTTGAGGTCGTTGACCACTTCATCTGCCTGATAGATCGGATAAGCTCTGGTGGCGACAGTGACTGACAAAATCTCTTCACGAATACAAAAGTCTCAGTCGACTTGTGCCAATTTACGCCATTTATGGCGCCGCCGTGATATTTGATTGCCTATTAAGGATAGAGTGTACCGCGCTACAGCTCGCCCTGTTCTACTATATGGCTGTGAAACATGACCAATAAAAGCAAGGGATATGAGACAGCTTTAGGTTTTTGACTACCATAGCCCTCGTAACATAGGTCATGTGTTTCGGTGCCACCACATCAGTAATGTAGCAACGTCAGGTGTAAAGTTTTGGACAGAAGAAGAAAGTTTGTTGAATGGTTTGTGAACCATCATCGACTGTGGTCGCTGAGACACGTGTTGCATATGCCTAGTCTTCGTTCATTTAATCGCACAATGTTAGGTGAATTAGGTTCAGTCTGGGAAAAGGTCGGAAACAGTCAGATTAAAACATGACATCAGTGCATGAAGTCTTCGACTATTGATCTGAGCCGTGTAGAGCAATGTAGACTTCTTCGTTATAGGGTCCAGGTGATAACGGAAATTGGCGGTATGTCTAAAAATTGTTGGCAGTGGTGCACATTTATCCGCACATCATCGTATTTTTCATAATGAATTCATAATTTACTTATTAATCCTTTTTATCTTATCACGGCTTTCTACTACTTTAGCTACTTTCATATTTATCTCTTCGTCTTTCATCTTCATGCATTCCCACTTGATATGAGATGTGGAAACTTGGACTATTATGTAGTAATGGCCTGTCCTATTTTGATATTGTCTATCTATCTGCCTTCCTTTTTATGATTTAGTAGAAGTTTCCGTAAGCGTTTTGTGCGTAATCAGCTAAGAGATTTATTTCTTCATTGAAATATTTATTGAATACACATATACTTGTTTGACCCCAGTGTATATCACTCTGCATTGAAAATGACAACTTAATATTATTACAACACTTTAGTTGAGTAGTTGCTTTAATGCTCGTTTAAACTCTGTTTTGCGCATACTAAGTTTTTACTGGGACAATGAGTCATTAGGTTTTATTGTTAAAGTATGTCCACTTTTAAACGTATCTAACTAGTGTGTTGGATTTTACGTCATGATGAATTATCCTGGTTATAGCTGAGAAATTATTCAGTTACCTAGTGATTTGTATTCTTGTGGAGCTGTTGCTCATTGGTTTTAGCAGTTGACATTCAACCAACAAGTCACTAGTCTGAGCCTCACTTCATCTACCAGGTAGCACCACTAGCTTTCATACAATAGCTGTGACTTATTGCCTACTACACGAGTATGCACAAGGTTCCTGAGTGAATTTCGATCTGATTTGTAACCTCATAAACTAAGAAAAAATACAAAAAATGGTGAATGAAGATTAAAATAAACAGTTAAGTGCTAATGAAAATGACTTCTTCAAATTCTTATCGAGAAATGATGTTATTTAGTCTATATTATTCCGAAATTTCCTGTCAGGGCTAATATGTACATAAATAAGCTGAAAACCATTCATCTCTATATCTCTTGTATATTTGCAGTGATTTAAATCTTTTTAAAAGGCAGGCTCACTTGAAAATAAACACAGACGAACAGACATATGAACACAAAAGTGTATCGGTTCCACTATAGAAAAACCATATCAATACAGTAATTTATTTTTTCATTTGACCTCACTTCATTAACAAAGATGTTAATTCAATTTTCCGTATTGTAGACTATCATGATGAGCCTGTGAAAGTTTATGTAGATGTGGATGTATCGAGTCTTTCTCATATTCAAATCTTTGGATATTTTCACCCTTCTCCATCGAGTTGTTTTTCTTCTGTTTACCTCCGTTTGATGTTCTAGTTTAGTTGTTCGAGCACCGGGCCGGTAACCCATAGGTCCCTGATTCGAATCCTCCTGCAGTCTAGATTTTCATTTCACCTTCAATCATCACTCAGTATAAATACAAGTCTACCAAACCATGACAATCTCAGATACTGAAACTCATAATCCTCTTTATATACTGGTGCGGATTTTGGCCACTTGAATTAATACATTTCCTTACAATACCGTGCGTTAATCTGTTATGCCTTCTCCAGAGAGACTAAACTGTTGTGACATTTTAAGTATGTAGTTTAATCTATGGTAATGGCTTTTGTGTCAGCAGTTATCAGTGAGATATATCTCTATACTCAAAATGGTTCATACCCCCTTGTGATACATGTCTACACTATCATACAACTCATTTGTAAATGTTGCGAACATTACTGTTATTATTATTATTATTATTATTATTATTATTATTAAAACACAAACGTGATACAGCGCGGGTACCAAGAAATGCGTCGCATAAAATAATATAACAACATTATGAAGACGTAAAGCGAATGGAAGCGGATAAAAATAAAACATAATAAGAATAGAATGATTAGAAGGGCAGTCCAATACATTCGAAATGAAACATTCATTATTTTTTAGCAGCAGAAAATAGGAGGAAGCTACAGCATGACCGCCACTGGTTTCGATTTTGAGCTATATCTGATAACGTCTCAAGTCATTGAGTTGTATGAACTCTCGGACTCTACCCAGGGAGTCGTGGTGCACCAACAGATGCTTACCTGATACAACTATCTCTCATCCCATGGCGCCACGTCATACACTGAATGCCTCTGCGTTTCTCCCATCCAGTCCCACGTTTGGCAAACAATGAACGGTGTGGAAGCCGTTGGGACGACATGCGTAACACATATCCAAGCCACCGAAGCCGGTGCTTCAAGGTGACTTCACTTATAGAATGACGATCTCCATCATGCCTAAACACAGGCTATCGTACCTCAGGATTACTTACATTGTGTTGCCACCGGATAGGAACAATCCTGCTGAGACAACGGTAATCGAACGCACAGAGTCGTCGCATATCCTCAGCTTGGAGAGCGCGGGTTTCACAGACGTAGAGCAGAAGTGTTCGCACCGAAGCGTTATAAACCCAACCTTTTACAGTTAGACTAACGTAGCGACGGCATCAAAGGCGACCCAGATTTACGTATGCCACTCCGGCTTTCGATATGCGGCTGAAAATTTCACCGCTCACACTTCCACTGACACTCACGCAACTACTCAGATACACGAACCTTTGAACTACTTCCAACGGCTCACCACTAAAGCTGTCCTGGCACAGGCTCCTGATAATTTTGCAAGAGTACTTTGAACTTCAATGGTACAAAGCACATTACCGTACTTACAGTACGCAACCAGAATACTCCTAACTTTTTAAACCCTTTCATTCTAAGATAGAAATAGTCTTCTCACGATTTCCGAATGCGTCATATATTTTATGATCCTTCTAAGTGATCACATGTCTTATTCGCATATCATAGTATTTGCGATAACTCTAAAATTTAGCATACAAATATAGGGGCCTCAATTAAGCAGGCAGCTAATGTACATTATTTAGTCATCGCTTCAACAACAGTTCCATATAACATCAGTTTGGTGTGCACGTAGTAGCGTGCTGACGTCTAAATGCAAAAACGATGGTTGAAGACTGTAAATAAAATGACTCAAAGTCGGTATCAGTGGCACAGATGCATTCACACTTTATCTTCATCTTGATCGTTATGTCATGTTTTGTTGTCCACTCTAACCGCTTTTCTCAACTCTCGTTTCTATTCTTTCCATATCCTGTTATTTCATCCTGTTGCCCAGCCGATAGCTGCTACGTTGACGTGATGGTCAGGCTTGTATACCGCAATAACCCAACAAGTTAGATTGGCTTGACTGCTTGTTCCCTCGAGGGGAAGTTGGATTAGGTTGGGAGAAGGTTCAGAGTGGCCATACTGAGACGTGGCACCAGCCTATGAAGTCTCTGACTGTTGGTCTGAACTGTGTGAAGGAGATGTAGACTACGTGGCTGGGGTCCCCCAGACAACAAGAATCAGGAATTGAGGACTGACTCTTGGTAAAATGGATGATAGTCGGTCACAGTGGTCCACGCGTATTCTTTCTTTGACGTCTTCTAAAGCTTGAATATTCTCACTAACCTTTATCTTGAAATTGTTAATTCTCTCACAAAAGTTTTTCCACTTTGGTATCACTTTTTCTATCCACCAGTTCTTTGGATACTACTGCCAAGTGTAGCAACTTGAAATAATGCATTTTTTGTGCGAGTTTCTACGTTGATTTTATCTGTCAGTCACCTTGTTGCTTAGTACCGTGTTCAATCGTTGCATAGTAATTCCAGGTTTCCTGTTGCTACTGAATGACTGGATTATGTAGTATGTAGTATGTAGTATGTATATATATATATATATATATATATATATATATATATATATATATATATATATATATATACAAATTGTGACTAAAGTTTAGATATCTACTCTAACAAGCTGAGAACTGGACCATATACTTTATTTAGTTGAAGACCTCATATACTACTATTGTCTTAAGCAGAACATTCAGCGAAACGTATATCTACTCAAAACATCCTACTGATATGGTGTACACTAACGGATGAAATATGCCTCAAATTGAGAAAGGTTGATTTTTATATCTCTCAGTTTGATATTGTTCACAATAAGTTTTCTCCCTTGACCTTATGCTCAAACAAAATCAAAGACAGTAACACATTAAGAAAAATAACTAAATATTTGTAGACGCGTATCGTATTCATCCATTAACCGATAGATAAATACCTCTAGAAAGGTAGATGTGGGACTGACTCATTAGTTTCGAGAGATGACTTTCAATCAATCAACTGGCAGTGGGTTCGAATCCCGGTCCACCTACTGAGGTTTCGGCAGCCAGGTAGTATCATCATCCGTCACAATCTGCCTACCGCTCGAATGTACACAAGGCTGGTTAGTAGATTTCTACTTACGAATGGAAGTAGATCGATAAATATATCTGCCTTCAACTAAGTAAACTTGCTTTTTTGTGTGGTGTTAGTTATGAGCTTGGATTTTGTCGTTACTGTGACCTGTTTCTTAAAAAAATCTTAAGGGTAAGACTTAAAAACACTGTTACTGGATTTCTCCCCTTTTAAAAAAGGGGAGGAAAATTATTTCAACTCTTGTTAATTGCAACTATTTATCACAATAGAGAGGTAGTTGTCTACCAGAACTACCGAGTACATCCCGAAGAGTCTACGTCTTACAAGTCCATCCACGTTCAATAGTACAATAGCTCGTCACTTATATGATATAGGACATCAAGTAGATGTGATGGAATCGTTTACTGTGTTAATTAGTTTTTTCTGCTATTGTGAAACTAGTGATACTGTTTCTCAACGATTTACTTTACAGTAAGGATGGATAGTGGGTAGTAGTAGAATCCAGGATGCACATTTCGTCTTATTTGGCACTCGTCAGCCGGATGTGTCTGCCTCCCAATGAGTAATATTGTTCTCAATAGGTCTCAAACTCATAACCGATCACTTCAAACGCTTCAGCATTATCCACTACACCACAGAATTTCGATTGTCACTTCTTGTGTGACGGGTATAGTTTTAATGTTGTTGCCTGTACTATTATCCCATCGTTGATTGGACCGAATCGATCAGTCTCTGTTGGCATATGGATTCAGTCCAATCAACGACGGTATAATACAAGTAATTATACTAAAACTATACCCGTCGCACAAGAAGGGGCTATCGTGGCTCAGTGGTGTAGTGGATAACGCTCTGGCGTTTGAAGCGATCGCTCTCGAGTCCTGATGGGAACAAGACGGCTCACTGCGAGGCAGGTACATCCAGCTGACAAGTCCCAAATAGGATGAAGTGTACATCCTGGATTTCGCTGCTAGCCACTATCCATCCTTACTATAATTAGAACACATGTAATATCGAGGCATCTTCACAGGAGCCCATATGCCAATAGAGACCGATCAATTCGGTCCAATCAACGACGGTATAATGCAAGCAATTATATCAGATTTGCTTTATAGTTTAGTTTTATTTAGATAGTTAGTGTACTTATCCATCATTACTTCAGATACTATAATTGCTGCAGCTTATTATACACAGATCGATGCTTCGTGAATACCCTTATTATGCAACTCCTTAGTACTCTATTTTGGCATGTGTACAAAACTACGACCTAAAATTCACTGTGTATAGACACAATAAGGAGGTGTGTCGAAGTCTGAATTCCTGAGACTTCTTGGTTTAAAGTCAAGTGCTTAGATCAACCAACTACAACTTGAGTTGTATCCGTCATTTTTTATGCAAGTAGTTTTCACTAGTTTAGATATTCACATCCTAAACACTGAATCCTCTCAGGGATCAGTTTCATTTCACCTATTTTATTTAGTCTGAATAGTTGCAGTTAGACTTCATTTACCCTCACAAAAATAATATATAAAACTCACAGCCTAATACATCTAGGTCTACATAAGTCGTGAATTCTGTTAACTTCCTCATTTATTCATTCTCAATAAGAACGAATTGAAATCGAAATGCAATCAGCAACCACGTTCACATTTGTTTAATAGTCAATAAGCCATACTTATCGTATAATGGCTAGTAATGCTACCTGGCTGCCCAAACATTTGTAGGTGGAAAAGGGTTTGAACCTAAGACCTATTGGTTGAAATCCATCTCCCTGAACCGATGAGTCACACCTCTACTCGCAATAAAATAAGCAAATGTTCGCAATAAATCCTTTCACTAGTATGTAATCATTACACATTATTATAACATTCTATAGACTGTGGTGTGGTTTACACCAAATGGTAATTCCTTTAGGTGAAACTATTTCCTGTTATTGATAATCATAGTATCTTGTTTCTCTCTCCCTCGTACTTTCACTTCATAAACACACCACATGTATGTATTTGTGTGGGCTTTTATACCTACAATGTTTTCCAGAAGTACACAGTCTATTTTTTTATTTCAAGTTCAATAATCCTAGTAACTTAATATTATCTGCTAGCTATATGATTCATGTGCATTTCTTTTCAAGTAAATATTTTCTTTTCTCTGAATGTTTTCACATCTCTACGCGTATGTGTTTGCGTGTATGTTATGTTTCGTCTTTAGGAGTAAATCAGGAATTCTGGGTTGGCGATCGGATCGTAAAGAAACTATCAATAATCATCCGTGTCAAGTAAGCTGAAGATGAAAGAGATTAGCTAATCTGTGCATTGTTTCCATTTGTTAATATACTTGTAGTTATCCGATTTTATACTGGGTCGAACTCTTTTGTTATATGAGCTCCTGTCTGGATGCCTGAATATTTGTTGTTATTGTTAACTTGGTTGTGGCTAGCAGTGGAATCCAGGACATGCGGTTCGTCCCATTTAGGACTCGTCAGCCGGACGTGCCTTTGCCCCAGTGAACTATGTTGTTCCCACTGGAATTCGAATCTCGTACCCATCGCTTCAGTGGCCCAGTGGATAACGCCTTGGAGTATGAAGCGCGGAGTTCTGGGTTCAAGTGTCAGTGAGAGCAGGTACATTAGGCCAACGAGTGCCAAATGGGACGAAACACACGTCCTGGATCCCACTACTAGTCACAATCAAGTCATTTGTGCGTTATTTGATTTTTTTTTCTATCTTACGAGTTAAAGCAGTAAGATAAGTTACTTATTCACTGAATATATGAATAAAATATTGAAGTACTACACTGACTAAAGAGTGAATGCTCTACACTTGAATGATCTTGAATCTATCATCAACAAAAGTAGCATAGTTTGCGCATGATAGGATAGAAACAGCATCGATACCAACTAAGGAAGACACTATGACTTCACTTTACTTAAAGTATTTCGAATGAATATGATTGTAACGAAACAAAAGGCAGTTATCATATTGGTTTTCAAAATGTAACTCATCTTCCGAGGAAGGGGGGCTTGATGGATACATAGAACATGTTTCTTTGCAATTTCATAAAAAGCGAAGCATCATCATTATAATTTGTAATAGATAATATGGATTATCTTTTGCGGTTACCTAACTGAACTCTCACTTATCCACTGGAACTCACCATAAATTATGCAATATTCTATGGGTTTTTCAGTTTTAGAAATCTTTGTTGAAAGTTATGTTAATTGGTCAGGTTGACGAATGACATTTTCAATGGTGACATGTGTGTAATAAATACATTTTTTCTATACATTACTTGGCAAATTTAAAGATTTCACCCTTAAAATATTGATCTGCATACATTGTAACAGTAGCTCAAGTGTTGCTTGGTGTATAAAAAAACCACTCCTTTACAATCTATCAGCCAGCCTCTCATATACCTTTGTAACTCGATAGCAATACATTGCTTGCTGATAACTTGTTTTTAGGCATTACTGTGTAACGGTCAAGTTGCCACACCTCACATCAGTGCGTCAAATAAAAAGGCAGTGAACTGCAAGGTGACGATAGGAAAATTCAATCAAAAGAAATTTAGAGTGCGAAAAGAGAGAAAGGAGGAATAAGAAAATGGTGAGATTAAGTATAGCGTCGTTAAGATGAGGATAATGTATGTATACATCTGCGTCACTGACATCGGCTCTGAGCCATATCACCTAGAGTCTCCAACCACTAGTTCCCCTTGTCGCATGGAGCCCAGCCAGCTAGTCTGCATCCCCCCTCGTACATGGGTCAAACCAACAGTCAAGGACCTCATACATTGATGTCATGTTTTAGTGTGGCCACCCCGATCCCTTTTCCATTCTGAACCTACTTCGGTCAACATTGTGTGACGAGGCGAATGGTGGGTAGGCATACGCAATACATGTCCCAACTAGCCATCTCAGTCGATGAAGGTTCACAACCTCATGAACGATCTTACCTCTGCTGTGTGGAACTTTATGACTGACTTCTACATTACTCGTGTAGTGATGATACCAGGAAACATGGCATATGCTACGAAGTCAATGGTGGTTAAACACATGAAATGTTTCCATGTTTTCTATCTTTAATGCCTGTTTCATGGTTTCGAACTAAAGCAGTTCAGAACTGAAGTATAACTTTGTTGTTTACATAATCCTGGATGACGAGTAGAGGTGAAATGAAAATCTATGCCATGACGGGATTCGAACGTGCGACCACCTGGTTTTCAGTTCGGTGCTCTGACAACTGAGCTGCTGATCAAATTTTGTAATAGGCATGAGTTCCTCCTGCAATAAATCTTTGTGTAAACATTTTTCCTCCTTCATAGTATTATCTTATTTTAATTTGCATGTTGTTATCTGTTAGCTTATTCTGGTGTTATCATTCAGTTGAGTTTACATTTTTAACTAACAGGTTTTGAAGTAATCGTTATTTTATCAAAAAGAAAGTTATGATATAATGTTTTTTCTAAAGGTCTACTGTGCATCGAATGTTCAAATAATCACACTGCGTCGTACTGAGCACTTAACTGAAGAAAATTTACGTGATCTCAATCAACATTCCACTGATAACGATCCTGGTAGTGGTGGTACTGGTCTCGGTATTGGTGGTGGTGTTGGTGGCGGTGCCAGTGATATTGTATTTCCAGGCGGAAGAGGTAATCTACTGACAAATTTACTACAAACTGCTGCATCTGAAGCTCAAACGAAACCAGATTTAGCTGTTACACATGTGAGTTTACTCATTTATTTTTATTATTAATTACCACCTTAACCCTATAATGTGTTATTATTTGTCATTAATTTGTTCGTTTGACACAAAGAAGGTGACGTAATATGCTGTAGATTGCTTTGTAGTTAACATGACTTTTACAACTGGTTTGAACCATTCTCACGTATTCAACATAGGTGTCTAGTTATAATTGACTTGATTGTGGCTAACAGCAGAATCCAGGACACGCGTTTCGCCCTGTTTTGGACTCGTCAGATGGATGTACCTTCACCCCCGTGAGTGATGTTCCCTCTGAGACTCGAACTCCAGTACCCTTCGCTTCAAACGCCAGAGCGTTATCCACTAAGCTAATGGGACGCGATAGCCACTTCTTGTGCAACAGGTGTCAGTTGTTGTAGTGATACTTGTAATTCCCCGTTGCCTATACAGGGCCGGATTGCTATCGTGGGTAACGTGCCTCAGTGGCTCAGTGGATAACACTGGCATTTCGAGAAATGGGTACTAGGTTTTAATCGTAGTGGAAGTAACATTAGTCACTAGGGTCCTCCAGATACATCCAGCTGACGATTCCCAGATAGGACGAAACACACGTTCTGGATTTCTCTGCTGGTCACTAAGACCAATATAACACCATGAATATCCGGCAGCATCGAGGCATCCGGATAGGAGCTCATGTACCAACAGAGGTTGAGCAGTCCGACCCTGCGTAACAACGGGAAACTGTAAGCATTATTACAGTAAACAGACTACTTTCAGCCTGACGAAGTACTTTATTTCAGTTACTTAATTTTATACCTAGGGAGCTTCTTTTTTTCTGATAGTTACATAATAACGCGTAGCTTTGATTAGTTGGATGGCTGCTAATAAATTTCTTGCTAATATCATGTTTCTTTTTCTTAAAATCGGTGTAAGTGTACTGAAAATGAGAAAAGTTATGTGTGTAACGCTTACAGACTTTTCTGCTCATACCTTTGTCTTTGGTTATTATTGTTTATGTTTGGAATTTTGCGGGTAAATGTATCATGGTCGAGCTAGGCTTCGTAACTCATATACGTTCATACATCATATTGTCTTTCTACTACCGAGTGCTTCGTAGCATTCCTCGTGTGTGGTGGAATCACCATGTGAGTAATGTTGAGGTGAGGTGAAGGGTAGTACTAGACAAGACAAACAAGTTGATCGATGAGGTTGTGAACCTTCATCGACTGAGATGTCTTGGACATGTACTGTACATACCCAGGCCCCGCCTACCTTGAAGTACTCTGCCAGGGGAAGTTTGATTGGAAGAGAGTTCAGGTTGAACAGATCAAGACATGGCACCAGTCGATTAAGTCTCTTACTGTTAGTCTGAGTCGTGTAAGAGGATGTAGACTATCTGACTGGGGTAAGAGACGTTCGGAATCAGTGGCTGATGACTGGCTCTTGCTGACAATGGCGGAGATTTATTTACTCCTTGATGTCTTTCTTCACTAACTTGAATGGTTTGACTAACCTTAATTTTTAAATTCCTTCTCCTTCTATACACCTTTGCTGAATTTGATATTAATCTTTCCTATCTACTTGTTCTTCATAAACTACTGTTCTTTTCCCGCTACTGTGAATTGTGGCAACTTGAATCGATGCACTTGTGTACGAGATTCTACACTGATTCTGTTTGTCTGTCTTCCTAAATGCTTAGTATTTTTTTCTCGATTAATAGCAGACTGTAGTCTTTTTTTATTATCATATTAAAGATTTTCACAACTTTGTTCTTTGAACAATAATTTTCGGCTAAAATGGTATTTCTAGTTTTCAACTTGAGTATAATCTGTATTTGTTATGTATAGTGTTTGTTTTTAGTTAACTTTGTCGACTCTTTGTACTAGATTTGGCTGCCATCGCATTCATACCTAGATGTTAAACTTTGGCAAGTATTTCATTCTTCGCTGAAATTGATTCCCTTCAGGTTCACAAAAGCGTGAAAGACTAAATTCATTCAAATTCTTAGGGTATCCAGTAACGATGAGATACTGGTGTATACATAATATATTTAGTCTAATCGAAGTAAAATGCTTCTTATCCTTTGGATAAACTATGTAATTGTCGTCAAATCGCAATGTGTTGCATATAGCCTAACCCTGCTTGGTATAACAATGTAGGATACTGTTTGAAGCGATAAGATATGAAATTATTTGTCATACAGTGCCACTTGTGATGAGTGTTTCGTTTGTACAGTAGAAGCTGTAGTTCATTGGTTCCCGCACTCAACTTTCAACCAATGAGTTTTGGATCCAAACCGCTCTCCGCATATAGAGATCTAGGTAAACAGGTAGTATCATTGACGTTCACATATTAAATGTGGCCTACTGAACTTATATCTGGATGACTATAGAGTTCTTTTTTTATTATTATTTGGACAACTTTACGAGTGAATTTTAAGGCCACTAACAACTACTGAAATGACTAGTTAGTCATCCATATTTTGGCTGACATAGAGAAACTTAATTGGTTATTTCAACAGTCGGTAAGGAGTGGCCTTTAAAGTTACTCAAATTTCTCTGTGTCTGTATCCGTCTTCCCAACCCTTTCTGTACTCCTAACCTTTATTCTCATTGCTCCCCTTTATCTCTCCAGTGTCTCATTGTTTCATTATCATTTGGCTATTTCACTCGTTGAAAAAGTGAGCTAATTTTGATCACACTTCAGTTTTTAAATTTCTTGGCTAACCCTTGTTGATTTGGCCGTTTATCCCCTGTGAAAACGCCACAATTGAGGATTATAATAACGATTATTTTAGAAGGTATCATGACCAACAGTGAACTGGATGGTTTGAAAAAACTTGGGCACCGAGTTGGTATGATTCATCGTATGAGGTGTATTTTTACTTGTGTAGTCCCGGCCTACAATATTAGAACAAATAACAAAATAAACCAATATTTTGTATTATTCCTCAATGTTTCGATCTTGCTAGCAAGATCATTTTCAAGAGAATGAATCTGATATTAAGTTCCCACGCTAATATTCAAGTTTTGGTACAGATTGTGACCTTCACAATCATCTAATTGCATCGTGAGCAAAGACCGATGTAATACGGTGAGTGAATAAGCAAATCTCTTAGACCGGCTTTTTACACTTGTGCGAGTAAGGTGGAACAAAAATTAATTAATTAATTATTAGATAAATAAATAAATATATAGACCAATAAATCAATGATAACAATTATAATGACGACGATAAAGTTACTTTAGATAACATTTGAAGTCTGAATGAAAACAAAATGGATTATGTGATATAGAGAATGGTTCATAGAATGTAAATAACACGGAAAAGAGCGTGAAATTGATGAAAATCGTGGATCAATAAAGTGTTATGTAATAGGGATAGACAAGTTGTTAAAATACTTTTTTTTTAAAAGTGATTAAGACAATCAAGCGAAACAGTACAACACAGGAAACTATTCGCACATGAATAAGGTCGGAATAAATCATATGGAATGAAATTGCCTGTGCTGTCTATGCGAATCATTAATGTTTGCTATATTAGTGGGATGTGTAACCCATCTTTTCTGTTGATCAAAGAAGGGTACGAGCAGATGTACAAAGCTTCTGCGCAATGGCTCACTCTTTTGTGGACTTTTGCCTTTTCGAATGATATACAAAATATTTTGTTTAATTTATAATTTGTTTCAATATACTACACCGGAATTACACAAGTAAAAATACACCTTATACGATGAACTATTATTTTAGTTGTAAGCTTTACTTTATAGTAACGCTTAGACTAGAAACTTCAATAATTGTGTTCTCAACTTCCGGAGTTTTACAAGTTACTTTGACTGAGGCCTCACAATCACCACTTTAGATTTAACGAACTGTTAATAACCCTGTTTTACTTTAATCCTCATCGTGTATGTTTTTAGTTCTGGTGTTTGTTTTTCTCACTAGTTTCTTCTGACTATGTAGTTTCCATGTCAATGTGTTGTCTGTCTGTTGGTTGAATTATGTTTAACCATTTATAGTAGTATAGTAGTAGTAGTATAGTATTTTACTGCTACTTACTTTATAGACAAGTTCAAATGATAAAGTATATTAGTTACCGTACAACTGGTCTTATTCTTCACGTTGCATTTTATTCCCACTTCTGTACTGTATGATAAACTCATTATGACTCCACGTTGTGAACATATGTATTCAACATTCATCAGGTATATGAAGAGTTTTTCATCCAGTTTCCAAATATTTTTCCTTGATTTAAGAAACTGATGACTATTATATTAGTATGAGGTGTCTTCGCTGTGCATATCAATCACATTAAAATTTGTCTGAACTTTGTCATCATAGTATCTTACTTTCTAAACACCCAATAAAGCCTGTTACCTCACTGACTACAGCTGATATGATACAAAATATCGATTTTATCGAAATTTGTTGCTAACTAAAGCAAAACAGTCATACTAAATAGGCGACTCTAACTCTCAAGCAGTGAAGTTGTGTCGATTGATGGGACATTTGGAAGCTAACTACAGTATTTCACGTCAATGAACTGACAACTGTGATTGCTTATTACGATTTTCTTCTGACAATTTTTTTTTTGGCTAGCAATAATCTAAGCACAAAGAAAGATTCTGTCTAACTTGGCGTCTACTGACATTAGACCAACAATGAACATAGGTAGATCACAGTACGATAAGCCACTGTCGGAAACGATCAGTGGAGAACTGTGACTCCTTTTAGGCTACCTCCCTGTAATTTGATCATACGTTAGTCATCATCAAGATCAACATAGGACTAGGCGTTACTGTGAAACGGTCCAAGTTGCCACACCTCAGATCAGCACATCAAATAACAAGGTAGTAAAATAGAAGATGAAGTGGGAAAGAAAAGTCTGTCAAAAGTGGGAATAGAAAGCAGTAAGAACAAGGAGGGAAGGAAGAAAAGATGATGAGATTAAGTATAGCGTCGTTAAGATGAGGATAATGTATGTATACATCTGCGTCACTGACATCGGCTCTGAGCCATATC